GTTACTACTCAACTCATAAAATAGTCATAAGGATTAATTTAGATCAGGGCCCCCAACCTCTGGGCCATGGAGTGGTACCAGCTCATAGCCTGTTAGGACCTGGGTTACACAGCAGGAGGTGAGCAGTGGGCAAGCGAGTGAAGCTTCATCTGTGTCCACAGCTGCTCCCCATGGCTCGCATTGCTGCCTGAGCTCTGCCTCCTGTCAGAGCAGCAGTGGCATCACATTCTCATACAAACCCTACTGTGAACTGCACATGTGAGGGATCTTGGTTGTTGTGTGCTCCTTATGAGAAGCCTGATGATCTGTCACTGTCATCACCCTCCATGGGACCATCTAGTTGCAGGAAAAAAAAGCTGAGGGCTCCCACTGATTCTACATTCTAGTGAGTTGCATAATTATTTCATTATATATTACAATGTAATAATAAATAGAAATAAAGTGCACAATAGATGTAATGTCCTTGAATCATCCTGAAACCATCCCCCAACCACCCTAGTCTGGAAAAATTGTTTTTCGAAACCAGTCCCTGGTGCCAAAAAGGTTGGGGACTTCTGATTTGGATCACATGTACTAAAGTCATTTTGTAAATTATAATGTGTTGGATGACAATAACTACTATTGATATCAATTAATATTACCAGAAAAGAGTTACAAAACTTTGATCTTGGCCCTATTTTAGTCAACATTTTATCAAATATGAGAATCAAGATAGAGAAAATGTCCTTATCTGATCTGCATGTGACACAGAGCTGGCAGTGAAGTGAAGTCTTAAGCCTTCAGCAAAATTCAGAGTGAATGACAGGTTTAGGGCAATTGTAATGATTTTGATAGGCTGAAATATTGGACAAAACCAATAAGAAAAAAAATTTAGCAAGAAAACTTTCAGTCTATACTTGGCTAAAAATGAAATTCCACAAGGACGGGTAGGAAAGCAACTCACATGGAAGATCTGAGAGATTTGTTTGACCACCAACCTAGTCTGAAAAAGCTATGGGAGGTAGTTGCAGAAAATGGCAGCAGAATCACAGGTTGTGTTTGCAAAGCAGTGTCTATAATACTCTTCTTGAGCCAGTACTCATCTGGAGTCATTTGCTTAATTCTGGAGAGGTTATATTTAGAGGACAGACAAGATGATGAGGTTTCTGGTAAGTGACAAGTGTTTGATGGCAATAGAAGTGCTTGGAAGAGAAAAAAAAACAATACTAATGGTAGTAGTAATTACAATCACCACCACCACAGCAAGAGCTGATACTTACTGAGTAATTGTATGTCTGATATTGTACTAGTCCCTTGCCTATGTTACATTGTTTAATCCTCTCAATAACCTTATGAGTCAGATACTGTTATTATCTCTGCTTCCCCATTTGATAGATAAGAAAATAGACACAGTAAGTGGCTCATTCAAGGTTATATAGCTATTACATAGTCATTATACAGCAAATGAGAGAGCAATATTTGAACTCAGGCATTCTTACATAGAACAGGAAGTTTTAGCCAACATGCTATTCTGCTTTCTAAGAGTTGGGGATAATAAGATAGCTCACTTAAATATTTCAAGAATTATCTATGCAAGAGTGACCAGCCATTTGCTGTACATTTCTACAAGGTAGTGCTATCCCAGTAAGTATAAAACACTGGAAGGGAGATTTAGGCTAAGTGATAAGAAATGAAATTTAGGCTAAATGTCATGGAATGAAGTGGATTACAGCATTTATTTCTCCATCCACTTGTCAAGTAGAGGTTTACTGGCCACCCCTTAGGGTTTCCCTTCATGCTATGAGGTCGCCCTAGGTGACCCCAATGGCTCCTTTGAGATTCTAGTTTCATTAGACTCATCTTTGGCCAAATACATTAATTAGCACTTATGACCTCAAGCAGCAGGAACTCAACTAATTACAGCTAGAATGTGTGAGCTTTCTTGGAAGAGAAGGGATGCCACTAATCCTCAGTCATAATGGATCTAGGAATGTGGAATCTGTAAGAATCTCTCTTCATTTCTTGCCTCCACTTGGTTTTGTTGACTTTCATCATCTGTCAGAAAACATCATCTGTCACTGGAAGCTCCTGCCTCCCCGCCACCAATGGGATAGTTTTTGCCACTGGGGATGGACTGCCTCTTTGTTAACAAGGCAAAACAAAAGAAAACAAAAATATAACATATTTTCACAGGCAAGGTAAAGATTGACCCAGTTTAAGAGTCTGCCCCCTCTATACCACCATCATATGGGGCCAGAGGAATGGCAGGTCTCAAAGGAACAATCCTGATGGACCAGAAAAGAAAGCTGACACTAAGCAATAGTGTCCCCTACCCCAATACAGGATGACAGGAACCTGGCACTAAAAAGGTATTAAAGACACCACAGGTTTAAAGTCTTTTTGATGTAAACATATACAAACTATGTACATAAATTTCAGGACTCAGGAATTTTCCATGTTTATGACAATAATCTTTTTTTTTCTTTTTTTGAGACACAGTCTTGCTCTGTCATCCAGGCTGGAGTGCAGTGGCATGATCTTGGCTCACTGCAACCTTGGCCTCCTGGGTTCAAGTGATTCTTGTGCCTTAGCCTCCCACAGGCACCTGCCACTATGCCTAGCCAATTTTTGTATTTTCAGTAGAGACGGGGTTTCACCAAGTTACCAGGCTGGTCTCAAACTGCTGGCCTCATATGATCTGCCCTCCTCGGCTTCCCAAAGTGCTGAGATTACAGCTATGAGCCACTGTGCCTGACCGACAATAAACTATCTGAGAATATTTGAGAGAGACATTCACTGTTAATGCTGGGTATCTGGCACCTATAATGTGCTTGGCATTGAGGTAGATGCCATGGGTATGGAATTGTAGCCTTTGATTCCTGTGTTCAAAGACCTAACAATTTAATGGGATTAAGGACTAAGCAGCATTCTGAGAACCATTCTAAATATAATGAAACAGAAGATTAGACCTTATCAATGATCTCATTTAAAAATAGATTTTACATCAAGTTTAAATCACAACTGGCTTCCCAATAAAACTTAGTGCTTTACAGCCCCAGATGCAGAAATCTAAAGATTTATTCATTCAACTCATTCATTTATGTGCTCATCATTGTTTAAGACACTGAAGTATAATACAAGTGGTAATAATTCCCTTTCCTCAGATTTCTTTTCTGTTGTTCTCTCTGCCTGACAGTCTTCATCTCATCCTTTCTTCCCACTGCAATCTCCTTCTATTTAACTTCCATTCTTTTTTTTTTTTTTTCTAAGATATAAGCTTTCCCTAAATGTGTAGACTGGGTTGAAACACTTTGCCGTGTACTCCTGTAGCATTCTGGGGGCTTCACTTTAGGAAAGACATCACACTTGTAATTGTTTACCCAGTGTGTCTTTAGAAGAATGAAAGCCCCATGAGGACAAGGCTAATGTTTGTTTTGTTCACTACTATGCCTGAAATAGTGCCTCGTAAAAAACAAGGACTAAATAAACCTTCATTGGAAAGATATTTATTGAGCATCTATCTGTCAAACATTGTTTCTGATACTGAAGATATGGTTTCTGTCCTGAAGGAGCTTACATTTTAAAGTATGGATTTAATGATAGATGAGAATCTACCTCAAGCTCCATGTTTTCCAGGTGGGGAAATGAATGCCCTAGAGATTAAGTGGCCTGAGTAAGGGCATATGGGAATATTTGAGTGGCACAGATTTTTTGTTTGTTCACTTAAAAAATTCCCCTTGCATAATATTTCTCAATACACATGTCATAATCCAGAGGTGGGTGTGTGAACTTGTTTCTTCAGTGCATAAATGCCCACAGAACACTGAGGCACCACAAGCTGAGTTGAGACAAACACATTGAGCACATGATTTTTATGTGCACAGAGTATCAAGTGTTACATCAATAGTAGGCAGACAGCTTTTGTGATCTCTTGCCTAATTCCATCATAGCTCCTGCAAGACCGTCATATCCTTTATTGTCACCTATGGAGCTTTGGCATCTCGAGTCCCTGGGAAAGTGAAGGTGTTGGTGTCAATGGCAGCGGTGTTGTTAGGGTTTAGTCAAGAGCTCAGTCATGAGCTGGGAGTTGCAAGAGGGGACTTGTATATATCATGACTGAGAAAGTAGAAGGACTTTTCAAGAGAGGGCACATAAGAAAGGGAAGGGGAATTTTTATTACAGGACTGTATGAACAGCAAAGAAACAATTCACTACAGTAGCGGGTATATATGGAATAAAGGGAAAAAATATGGGATAGGTATGGGAAAATGGACTGGAATTGAGTCTTTGGAAATGGAGGAAATGATTGTTTCCAAGAATGAAAAGACAGCTCGACTTAGCTTTTAGAGTAATAAATAAATGTGAATCCAAACTAGCTCTTAAGTTTAGAACCCTAAGCAGACTCCCATGAGAATTCCGCAGGGGTTCACCTTATCCCAGTTGAGGAACTGCCCTAGAAGGATATGGAGAAATCCTCTCACCCATTCATATCCACACATAGAAGCCAGTCTCTGGACAGGATGTTATATGTCAGGTTACCACACATGTCTCCCCACCCCAAAAACATATCCTCTACCCCCCACGAAGCAAAACTGACACTTTAGCAGAAACACATATGCTGCACAAAGCCAGCTATGCCTTCGCCATCTTCACCCAGGGACTAGCAGAGCCTGTGCCTGGATATTTGTGACTCTGCTGTCAGTGACAGCCATGACTAGCTTAGAAATTTCACTCATTCACTCAAAATCTGTGAGTTGCTGAGTCCTTTAATCAGAAAGCAACTCAATCCAAAATAACAACCTTTTAAAAAAACAGCACCTTTTAATACTGTGAGCAGAAATCCTTTGACATTTAAGGAATGCCCTACTGAGGGCTATTGCTAAGACCAGCAGTCCACCTATGTTATCAAGAAGTAGGAGACGGTGGTTTTGTTGTCTTTAAATGATACATGAGTTCAGGGAATGAGCTGCAGAAGGCTCAGGGCTTAGTGGGGAGAAAAGTCAGAGAAAGCACTGCAGACGTCTGTAAAGAAAATGTTTTATTTAAAGTGTTAAATACCATCACCAGAATGAATTTGATTTACATTAGTTGGTGTTCATTACAGGACTAATCTGCCTTTCTTTTCCAACTGGAATTCCCTTTACTTTCAAACATACTATATGCAGGCCAACAATGGTCACTGGCATAGTGCTAGTTACATGACTAAACCACAAGTAGAGGTGCAGATGTGAAAATTAAAAAACAAACAAACAAACAAAAAAACCAACTTTTAAGTAAATACTGCATAATGACAAGTATGTACAAATATTCCATACAGTCATGTCCTTCTTATTAAAATTAGAAATAATTTGTATAGGAATATGCACAAAAGATTATGTGACTGCATGTTAGTATCAGGAAAATCATTATTCTAAGGGACAGTATAGACACTATAGGTCTATTAAATCAATTGTTGCTGGTACGCAGGTGTCTAAATTATTTTAATAGTTTTATTTGTTCTTTTAACAACGTTACCTGGGTCCATCAGAATGTCAAGACACGGTCTCGGTATATTTCATATTGCACCACATAAAGAGAAGGCATTTTTAGTGATACTCATTTTAACTTTTGCACCGTATCAAGCATGATAGTTTTTAATGGTCAGCATTGAACTAAAAAAAAAAAATTTGTGCATGGCCTCAATTTAAACAAATGAGATGTATGTGGATTTTTAAAATTAATGCAAAAAATTAAAATCAAACTATTATAATGTATTATCAGAGTTGCATAAAGAACCATGGGTGGTTTACTACAATAACTAGTGACTCTTCCTCTAAATAGGGGAACTTAGTAGAAATTTGACCTTGCAGCACCACCCAATGGTAATAACTGTCTGTAAAACCAAAGGCAGGGGTTTTGACTTTAGGAGATTTTCATGTAGACTTTTGGTGATGGCATCAAATAACTATTAATAGGCATACTGACTTTTTTTGAGTCACCTAAAAACTGGAGCTTTAAAATTGTTTGTTGCAAATTTATGTTTACTATATTTCTTTAGAAATATAATTTGTGAAAAATTGAATTTTACTACAGAAAAAATGAATTAATAAACAGCCCTGTGTTTCAGGGTTTCCAATTTTTAGCAGTGTTTCTATTCACATAGTAAATGGGAACTGGCTAAAGAAATTGCTTTAACTAATTAAAAAATAAACAAAACCTAAGACCTTCTACAAATAATACTTTAACCCCTGTATGAATAATGCTGGTGCTAAAAATAAATTTATTAGAAAGTACAATGGCCACATGATTTTGGAATTTTCCTGTAAACTGAATTTTAAAGGTGAAAAAAAATTACCATGCACTGTACAATAAACTGCAAAAGTTCAAATATCTTCTTTGTCAAATACATGCTGACTTACTTTTATGGATTCCCAAGTCATGTTGTAAAATCCTTTTCAACATGCTTGAAATAAAGAAAGCTCTTAAAGTTATTTTTCCCTTGAGAAATTCACAAATTCAGAGGCATCTACAGCTCTGAATCAAACATGGGGTTTAAGCAAGGATCAGATCAAAACTTGTAATTTTTTAGTATAAGGTTCACTCTGGCAGGGAGAAAGAAAAGATTAAAAGAGGGAGAAGAAGAAGAAAACTGAGAGAAGAAAGATGTGAAAAATTTGCACATATTGAACTTCATAAGATTTGTATATTTAACATGGAAATAAATTGAATATATTATACTTATTTGTCACATAAAGAGAATTTTAAGTATCTTCTAGAAAGTATTTCCATTTGTAATGTCTGCCAAAACACAGACTATGATTAAAGAATAAACATGGTGTATCTTTGTATCACCCTGTTGCATTCTCTCTCCTTTTAAAACCATGCACTAGTGAAATTTATTTTTAAAAATAATATAAATTGTTGAAAATGGCTGATTTTTATTCTTTTTTTTTTGCAAGTTGCAGCCCCAAGAAAATAATTTAAGTATTCAGCTAATCTGTGTCCATGCAAAAAAAGTTTCTTTAATTTCATTCAGTACGGTGTAGCCACAGAATTTTGTTTTTCAGAGTCCAACACGTATTGGCATTAGTAAATGATGTGCCCGTGGAGCTAGAGTCTACCGCTCTTCCCGCTGGACTGACTGCTCCGATCCCCGGCCAGAGGAGGGCTGACAATTGTTCCTGACCACTTCTTTGGTCTCCAGCTTTTCACCTGATACTTCCTAGGATTTCACTCCTTGACCTGTAACACAGCTTCATAGTTGTATAGCTCCATTTCTGTGGCATATCAGGGCTTTGGGATCAGATAAATGAAGAAAAAGGAACGCTAAAAATATAAAGGTGCCATTGAAAAGGGCTTCTGTTGCATGAAACTGACTGATTCTTTGAGATTAATCCATGGCTTCAGATTGGACCAGAACTCGAGCATCATTGCATTCCAAACCTGATAGTTCTTCACAGCTCTGTTCTTTCACCTGAGGTCCTTCTTTAGGGCACAATGTGTGCAACTTCCTCTGAGAACACAGGATCGCTTTGTATCCCTAGAAACAGGCTCAGAAGACACAACATTAAGCATGCAGTGTTACCAGGGTTTGCAACCTGTGACCTTTTTTTTTTTTTTTTCTTTTTCTTTTTTTGTAACGTTGGTTGCTGTGACAACAGTTTTACAGCTGCTATGAACGAGAGTAAGAAGGTCCAGTTGAACTTTCCAGAGATGATTGGGAAGCTCTTCTTGTCAGAGGGGCCAAGGTTGGATCTACTAGGGAGGACGGAGGGAAAAGTTTGAACCATCCGATCACCATATTGGATAGCTCTAGTTCATCTAAAAGTATCTGGGCCACTCCCATAAAAGATTTGTGATCCATGCGGCCATAATCTCCCCAGACGATGATCTGTTGGCAAAATAAAAAGTAGAGTGATGTCAGTGTAACTGTGTACATAAGAAAAACTTGTAAAATATATTTAAATACTAAAGTACATTCAGTTAATTTTCTGACGTCAAAGATCAAGTTAATTTTCTGACGTCAAAGATCATGTATTTGATTAATGGAATAGTGGTCTTTAACTAGTGGAATCTAAAGGTGCTTTGGGAAAATTGTACTGAAGCATTAAGGTCATAAGAAATCCAGAGAGACTGGAATTTATGTGTGGTGGAATTTACATGTCTATAAATCACTTTAAAGAAAATGACAATGTATATTGCTTTAGCACTGGCCACTGGTTTGAAGTTTCCAAAGAATTTCAGTTGTGAGGAACATAAAAGAATACAACAGAAAAGATTTGGGGTATAATATCTGATTCCATGAAAAACACTTTCTTAGGTAAGGGATAAACAAGTCGATACCTGTAAAACTTTTCCTTGTGGACTCTCTTCGAAAGATAATAGCTGCTGGTAAAGGGGTTCCAGCGTTTTTCTTGCCACTTTTGTTTTCTTTTTGGCTATGCAGACTCCATTATCTAATAGATACACCTTTACATACGGTGCTTGGGAAAGAAAACATAGAGGTGAAAAAGCGATGAGTTACCGACATGAAATGCCCAACTCATGGTGATATTTATTATCTTCAGCTGAAAAAGCTAGCAATCATGCCACTGGCCTAGCTGCATTCTGTCAAAATCATTAAATAAACAGTGGTTAACTGTATCTTTCGGAAAGTTTTATGGGATACAGACATAGCCTCTGAGTTTATTATTATTATTATTTTTTCATCAACTTGTTATATAGGTTTACACACTGCATTAAATAAGTGAAATGCTTCCAGTCCTTAACAATATTCAAGAGAGATGTCCTACTCGGTCTTTAATTTATCACTACTTAAATCTATTTAACATGCTTGAAGCTATATTGTTTCAATCACCCATCCCCACAAATAGTGATTATCAATCACTCAAAAGTATTTATTTATTGGTGGTGGTGTGGGTATAACAGTAGTGGAATTTCATGCGATATGATCCAATTAGCTAAGAAGCAACTAATTAGAAAATCTATGGCTTAAAATTTATCCAACAGACACTTCATAAAAACCATTTTCATGCATGTACAAATGAATATTCTTTACAGCAGAATGAATTGGCTAGCTCTAAGACATGTATAAAAACAACTATCTTAATCACCAGTGCAAGGTTATACAATAGATTATATATTATAATTTAAAATTTCTACAAGGATAGAAAAGTTAAGAGTCAAAAATTACAAGTCAATCAGTAGAGATGTTGAGGCTAGCTTGTCAAAACAACCTCTCCACAATGCATTTGGAACACTGTGGCACTTCCCATGGCTTCAAGCACCTTAGATTATAATGACATTTTAGCATGAAATATGGAGCATAAGAAGTTGTAATAGTGCCATTCTTTCCTCAGATTATAGGAAGTAAAAGTCTTATAATTAGAATATCCAGCATACATAGTTTATGCTACTCTTGAAGGCTGTATCTATTTTTATTCTAATTCCAGAGCCTTATGAATTCCTGAGGAGAATTTTGAAGCTCTAGAGAAATTGAAGTAACACAAAACACTAGCTAATAAGAAAAAAGAACTCCTTGCATACACGGTGTGACAAAATGAATTATCTAAGTGTGGTGTTTTTATTTTGCAGTGGTTTCTAGTACATATGTACTTATTTAAAAACTTACATTATCCCCACCGGATCATCCTCACTGAACACTCATTCAGGATAAACACACAAATGACTGCTGCCCCAAACCAGTCATAATGGATTAATCCATCAGTAACCTTGATTAACTAAATCAAAGGTCAAACCAATCCACAGGTCTCTAAATTGAAACAGTATGGATTATGTACAATGATAGAAAAATCTCTTTTGTTTTTACCTGGCAGTGTCTTGGAACCTGGTTTCACAACAAGGCCACGGGCCCGGATGATTTCCACCTCCAACTGTCCCTTTTTGTCCATCATTCCTACCTGAATGTCACCTAATGGAAGGAGGAAGAAACAAATGTACTTTAATACACAAAGGCACTAAGGAAAATGCCTGAGTCAAAGACCTTGGTTTAACATCATTTCATCATTTCCCACATATTTTCTTAAATTCAAATATACTTAAGATTCTATCAATGATATCTTCCTTTAAAAGGATGAAAATTAAAAGATCAATAATGGTTAAATTTTTTTATTGTTAAAATCTAAGCTCTTGATTTCTGCTGATAATACTGTTAAAGATTCCACTGGGCCGAGCCCAGTGGCTGATGCCTGTAATCCTAGCACCTGGAGACGGGAGGCAGGAGGATTGCTTGAGGCCAGGAGTTTGAGACCAGCTTGTTCAGAATAGTGAGGGCTTGTCTCTACAAAAAAAAAAAAAAGTCAAAATATTTGCTGTGTATGGTGGCATGTGGCTGCAGTCCAGGTACTTGGGAAGATAAGGTGGGAGGATTTCTTGAGCCAAGGGGGTGGAGGGTGCAGTGAACTGTAATCATACCACTGCACTCCAGCCTGGGCAACATAGAGAAACTCTGTCTCAAAAAATAAAAAAGAGGGAGGGAGAGAGAGAAAAAAACATTCTATGAAATTTAGAGAATTTCATTTTCAATAATCTAAAAGAAAATAGTGAAATCATGTGACAGAAATTCTTACCCATTGCAGGTGTAGCCAGAGTCTGGCGTCCCACTAGCTGAGCAGGGCCAAGGCCGTCCAGAAAATCGCTGAACTGGCTATCAGAGGCCAAGCGAACACCAGGGAAGATCAGACTGAAAGCAAAATAACATATGACATTAAATCCCCAACCTCTATTTATTTTCAGGTAAGCTCAAGTTTCAGTCTGGCCTTGATACTGTGGCAAGAGAGTCAGTCCTATTATTTTGCCACTTATATTTACTGGATCCAAACACCCCGCTCCACCTCCCAAGGCTCTTCCTCCATATTCTCAGCAGCCCATGTTTGACACCAGAAGCACTTGTCACCGTGCTGCAGGCTTCTGCTGGTGAGTCTCTCTCTTCCTTGGTCTGAAGGTCAGGCTGATTTCTATGAGTAACACTGAGCACATATTGAACACTTACTCCATCACAGGCTTTATCATATTAATCCTCTTAGCTGCACTATGATAGAGTCTATTATTTCTCCCATTTCATAGTTGAAGAAATGTTTCTGGATCATTCTCATCTGCATATAAATATGCTGTTATTTCTTTCACCATAAAAAAAAAAATCCCTTTCCTGACCCCATTTCCCTCTCCAGCTACTATCCCATTTATCTCCTGGAAATACTTGTCTCTATGTGCTGTCTTCAATTTCTTTTCTCTCATTCTCTCTTGAAAGTCTTATCATGTTTTCATTGTCACCACTCCACTAGAATTCTCTGATCATCTGACACAATGGACCTTGTCTCCTCCTCCTTTAAACACCGTCTCCATACTACTTCCTGCACGCTCCAGTCTCCTGGCTTCCAGTCCCCTTGTTTCCCTCTTTTCTCTTCTGTCACTCAGCCTTAACCGACTCTGCCAGTTCTGGCACCAAACACTGGAGCTCTATCCTTTCATCTTTTATCTTTTTTCTGTGCCTGAATTCCCTTGGTAATCTCATCCAGTTGCATGGTTTTAAATGCCATCTATGATGCTATTGCTTAGATTGGCAACTCCAGCTTGGATCTTTCCCTTGGGCCACAGACCTACGTTCCAACTGCTTAGTCTACGTATCTGTTTGGATATGTAATAGGCACCTGAAACTCAAATTGCCTAAAACTGACTCTCCCCATGCTCCCGTCCCCCCCACTGCAAACATATTAACAAAAAATCCAAACTCTGATCCTGTCAAAAGATTTCCATCTTGATAAACGGCAACTTCATTCTTCATTCTTCCAACTGCTTGACCTTGGAGCCATCCTTCTTCCTTCCTCTCTGTTATGGACTGAATCACATCACCCCAAAATTCTTATGTTGAAGCCCTAACCCTCAATATGTTTGTATTTGGCCATAGGGCCTTTAAAGAGAGAAGGTTAAATGAGGCCATTAGCATGGAGCACTAATCCAATATAACTCATGTCCTTCTAAGAAGAGGAAGAGACACCAGGAGTAGGTACGCACAGAGAAAAAGTCGTGAGAAGACACCACAAGAAGGTGTCCATCTTCAAGCCAAGGAGAAAAGCCTCAGAGGAACTCAGACCTGCTGACAAGTTGATCTTGGACTTCTAGCCTACTGATCTGTGAGAAAATAAATTCCTGTTGTATAAGGCACCCAGCCTATGGCATTTTGTTATGGAAACCCTGGCAAACAAATACACTCTCTTTTCTCTGATTACCCACATCAAATGCATCAATAAATTGTACTTGCTCTACTGTCAAAATACATTAAGAATCTCACCTCACTAATGCTACACTCTGGTCCAAGCCACCATTCCCTAGCTTCTGTGTTCCTGCAGCAGCCTTGTGAATGGTGTCCCTGTTGCTGTCCTTGCTGTCCTAGCCCTTTGCCCCTTCAGCACTCAGACTGATCCGCCAAAACAAGTCAGATCCTGTCACTCCTCTGCTCAAAACCATCCAAGGACTAGACTACTCGACTAGTCACCCTCAATAAAAGAGAAGTTGTTACAATACATAAAGCCTATGTAAGGTGTGCCCCCCCACCCAGCCACACGCCCTAATTCCTCATCTGTCACTGCTCTCATCCTCCTCCCCAGTGCTTCCCTCCTCACTGCTGACCCCGAGGTCAGCTCCTGCCTCAGGGCATCTGAAGCAATCTTCATCCTAGAATGTTCTTCCTTCAGATATCCCTCTGCTCACTAACTTCCTTCAGATCTTCACTCAAATGCCTCCTTTCCCCATCTAGCCTGCATGAAATCCTACCTCCCACCCTCTTAATCATCTCTTCCTTGTTTTATTTTTCTCCTTAGCACGTATACTTTCTAATCTACTACACATTTTATTAGTTTTTCTTTTATATACATTTTAACAATTTTTCTTATTTATTGTTTATCTTCTTTATTAGAGTGTAAATGTGATAAGAGTAGTTTTTTGGGGCGGAGGTGGGGTCTTGTTTGTTTATCAATGTATCTCTAGTACCTAGAACCATGCCTGGAATTCTGTGTAGAAGGAGAGGAGGAGGGAAGGGGAGGGCAGAGGGGAGGAAAGGCAAAAGGAAAGGAAAGGGGAAAGAAAAAGAGGGAGAAAGGAAAGGTGAAAAAAAAAAGGCAAATAGAATGGAAAGGAAAAAAGAAAGAAAAGAAGAGACCTGGTGAGAGCACCGGGCCTATGTAGACTGCAAAGCCTATGGTCTCAGCCATGGATATTTACTCCCTCCCTCCTATGACGTATGTCCCCAATGTTACAGCACAGTGACTGGCCCACTGGAAGGTATGGTAATATTCGTTGAATGAATTCATGATACTCATCCTCTTTTTCCAATATGACTATAAACACCTGGAGCAGGAGCTATAGTTTAAACATTTTTATATCCCTAACAGTATCTGGCATAGTTCTTTGCAACGATTAGTGGTCAGTGCACATTTACTTTTCAGTTGATTTTCCCTCTCTTTTTAGACTTCCTTAATGAATAGGGAATCTATTTCTCCCCCCGACCTCAACTCTCAAATATTCAGTTAATACAAATATTTTAGTCTGTTTCTGTAAGTATCCCATATAATCCTACTTATAAATGTACGGAAACCATTTACATCTCTACTATTTATGTTATCGTGCTAGACAAATTATCCTTAGACATACCATTCATGCTGTGCCAACAGCTCCTATGGCCTCACATCTGTGAACTGGTCACACATAGGTTATCTAAACATCTAATGCTTCCATGGTGATGACAGTAAGGTCAGTAAAACCCATTTGCCTCTGTTAATGTCCTTTAGGGACTCACTTCCAGATCTTTAGTTGCTAAGTACTATTAATTTTTTGGTGACAGGAGTACACAAGCTACAAACGCTTTAAAAATACCTGAGACAGTTGATTCAAAGGAAAGCTACATGATAACTATGTAAAAGGCTCCCCAACATTTTTGGTGGTATTACTTTTTGGCTGTTATATTTAGTATGATTAAATAATTATAATTGTTTGTCACAACATGGAACTAAGTATATGCCAGCATTCCATATTTTTTAGCAATAACTCTTAGGATGGAGATTCTTAACACTAGCATTGTTCACATGGTATGTATGGCATGCATGCTTATTATTTGGGGGGTTTTATATATTATTTCAAGCTAGGGCAAAATATTTTATTTGCATTGTATTGTAAAAGTCACATTTTAGCATCTTGCCATTAAGACAAAACATCCCAAACCTATTTCGCTTGGTATAAAAAGCCAGATACATCACATTGCTCAGTGGCAGGTGAGTAAAGTTCTCTTCACAGGAAATCAGCTAGCAAAAATTAAAATGGCTCCGAAGAGCATGAGAGTTAGAAAATCTCTGGGAGAGCACAGAGAGTGAGATAGGTGAGGCATGGAGGAGACATATATCATGTGCGCCTCACTCACTTTCCTTCTGAGCTGTAGCTGTTCATGCTGCCGTCTGTAGACTCTCGGCTTGCCTGTCGAGTCATCCAGTTCCTCATCTCCACCGCCAGGCCTGTTTCTGTACTTCTCTGGACAGTGCTCCTTAGTTTTTTGCCTCCTGCTTCTGCAGAGATAGAAACAAAAAGTGTAACAGCTTTGTCATCACTCTCTGGTAACAAGAAATATCAGCCAAGGCTCTGAGATCATCAGATGCAAAGATCTGTGTAAATGCAAAGTGCTCTTATTAAGGAGATAGAAAGAAAAGGTGTTTAAAACAATTTTAAACAATGTCATGTTGAGTGGGATGTAGATTTTCTAAAAATTCTGTAAGAAGCACAAAACACCATTGTTTTATTTCCATTTAAAACAATGTTCAAATTGTTAACAAAAGAAACGAAAAGATTCAACCTAAGGAAAAGAAAATAAGCTTTATTTTCATTGTAATACTTAAATGCCAGGTTAATTTATGCCTTTTTGTTTTCATTGCATATTTAAATGCCAGACTAATTTCTGCTTACCATATTTTAACCTTTCTTTTAATCATAGTAAAAGAACCAGGCCTTCACACAATTTACAAAGAAACAGATGGGGAGTAATCCTCAAATTCCAGCCTTAACTTTCACAAGAAAAGGGTGATAGATATTAGAAGGAAAAAGAATCTATACAAAGGAGAGAGCCTACTTTGCCAACAGTTTCACATCTATTGGTAACTTTCAGAAAGATTTTTAAAGGGGAATGCAAAAACCCAGCAAAATCATGTGAAAAGAGATTTTCACTTTTTGTTCATGGTTAGTCATGTCCTCAAGGATCTTAACTAGTTGGGTGATGTGAAGAAGCCAATTAGAAGACCCACCATGAAACTGAGTCAAGTACTACAGATGTGACATGGACAGGAAGTACTATCTAGAGAGGTCAGGGAAGAAGGCACTTCATAGAGGGTGTGGGATTTGAGCTGGGCATGAAATATAGGCGGACTGGGACTTAAGAAGAGGTGAGAAGAGAGCTGCTTAAGCAAGAGAAACAGCATGGGCAAAGTGCAAAGATAAGGATTACCATGTGCATTTAAGGGAGGTGCAATGACCAAAGCACATGTAAAGTCACAGGGGAGCGGGTTCCACAAAAAACTGAGCCCAAGTTACGAAAGCTATGAGTGTTGAGATGTGAAGCTGAGAGACTACCAAAGCTAGAACAAGAGGGTGATAGTACAAATGATTTGTACACGATTACTTCTTGTCAGGCTGAAATATTTAACCACACTGTGCATATTAACAGTTTTTTGGGATACAACCATATAGTTAGCTCTATTTGTGCTTGGTATTAATAAATTCTTTTTAGATCTATAAATATTTGCTGATATTGCCAATGATTTGTTGAAATCTCTTTTCACCAAGTCTCTTATAGGCACTTAGCATTTTGAAATACTGCTTTAAATTTCATCCATTGTCTACTTCCAACATTAATGGACACCAAAATGATTTAAGTATATAGGAAATAAAAATTATGACTGATCTATAACTCAGTTCTACAATGTAAGGCTGATATTTTAGATAACAGATAGTAAACATGTTTTACTGATATGAACCGTGAGAAGATACAAAACATCCCCTATTAATGAGGGAAAGATCTTTACAGCAGAATATTAGTTAATGTCAAAGGAATATAATTTTAAAATTACCAATTTGCAACCTCCATTGGAACGAATGATATAAGCAAGGCTCATCAATGGAGGCCAACACCATTGGATGAAACATTGTGGAAAGGATACTCATATGAGCCAAATAATTGTTCCATAAATTATTCTAATTGTTAAAGGTAAAAAAAAAAAAAAAAAGTACTTGAACGCTGGGAGACCAGGCTGCCACCATCTTAATCCAGTGATCAAAGTTAGCAGCACTAAGAGGGGACAATCATGCACGTCTGGATATAAAATATACTGTATCGCTTGTCAAGTTGTTCTAGACAAAAACATGCAACCTGTTTCTAATCAGGTCTCTGAAGCCAATTACAAGTTGTGAAAAACAGGTGATGGAATAACAAGATATGTGACAGACACATACACAAAATAATCAGAGAAATCTAGAACGTGGAATAGTATTCAAGAGAGTTGACCTAGTCTCTTAAAAGAAGTTAACATCATGAAACAAAGAAATAAGGTAAGGAGTTGTTCTGGGTTAAAATACAGCAAAGGAATTTAACCATCAAACGCTACGAGTGTATTTGAACTTCTTGTTTGGGAAAGCAAAACAAGAAACCCTATATGCAAAACAGTATAAAAGTAATTTTAGGACAAGTTAAGGAAAATTTGAATATGCATTTGACATTAGATGAAGTTAGAAAATTGTTATTGTTTAAGGTAGATAATGGATGGCATGTATTATAAAGAACTGTCTTATTAGGAGATACATGCTAAATTATTTAGACCTGAAATGTTATATTATCTGCAATTTACTTTCAAATGGTGTAGAGAAAACAAAACAAAACATACAACAACCCAGCCCCAACCCCAACCCCAAACTTCACATATATGTTTTTTAAAAATGAGGGAGAGGCCGGGCACGGTGGCTCAAGCCTGTAATCCCAGCACTTTGGGAGGCCGAGGCGGGTGGATCGCGAGGTCAAGAGATCGAGACCACCCAGGTCAATATGGTGAAACTCCGTCTCTACTAAAAATACAAAAAATTAGCTGGGCATGGTGGCACGTGCCTGTAATCCCAGCTACTCAGGAAGCTGAGGCAGGAGAATTGCCTGAACCCAGGAGGCGGAGGTTGCAGTGAGCCGAGATTGCGCCATTGCACTCCAGCCTGGGTAACAAGAGGGAAACTCCGTCTAAAAAAAAAAAAAAAAAAAAAAAATGAGGGAGAATGTTAAGGAGAGATGAAAGAATGAGGATTCAGAGTACATCCTGGTATTCATCAATTTAATATTTAATGATTTCATTTGAGTGGTCCTCAAATAACTATATCAAAAAGTAGGCTGGGTACAATGGCTCACAACTGTAATCCCAGCACTCTGGGAGGCTGAGGCCAGTAGTTTGAGATCAGCCTGACCAACATGGTGAAATCCTGTCTCTAATAAAAATACAAAAATTATCTGGGCATAGTGGCACATACCTGCAATCCCATCTACTTAAGAGGCTGAGGCAGGAGAATCATTTGAACTCAGTAAGGAGAGGTTGCAGTGAGCTGAAATTGCACCACTGCACTACAGCCTGGATGACAGAGCAAGACTCTGTCTCAAAAACAAAACAAAACAAAACAAAACAAAACAAAACAAAACAAAACAAAAAAAAACCCAAAACAAGAAATAATGCAATTTTGAACAAGTATGTCTCTCCATGTAGCTTTAATGTTAGTTTCCTGTAAACAGTGCCCTTGTGAAAAAATTGCCATCAAGTGAGATATACAACTTCAGTGAAATTTGAGCATGTGGAATGGGGATATATACAAGAAATATATGACTTAGAAAGGAAATTGAATTCTTAAAGATCTCAGAAAACAGCCTCTGCAATGTCAGAGATCTATAGTTTTTAATTTAAGGTCTGACTCTATCACAGTTAAAGCCACTTGAAAATTTGCCATTATAGGGTCATGAGAATAAGCACCATTTGTAAAAGAATAAACCAATAAGCATGTAATTCTTTTGTTTACAGACTGTTTCTTAGATGTATCCCCTTCATAACAATGCTAAAAATCCCGATTTTACAGATACAGTATCTAAGGACCCCAGAAGATTACATAATTTTCTGAAGCCACATAGTAAGTGGCAGAACCAGCATTTGTAGGCAGTTTCTAGACTCCAAATTTTCTGTTATTCAGTACTTCATTGTCAGAATATAACTAAATGGGGAGCTTGTGCAGCTGTCTATGGAGATTATACTATGCTAATGCTGTAACTGCATATGGAAGGCCCTATTAGAAGCAGCTTTTGGGGTGGAAAAAGCAGAGCACAGTGAAGGGGTCAGGTCCTGGTGTCAAACTCCTTCTCTTTTAGTTTCCACTCTACAATTTACAAGGTGGATGACACTCAGCAAGTTACATACCCTCTCTGTGACTCAGTTTCCTCAAACTGGAATGACAACAACAATAATAATGGCTACTTGATTAGGACTGAGGTAGTAATTTTTGTATTAAGGAAAACAATGCATCTAAAGCACTTAAGATAGTGCCTGATGCATAGAAAATGCATCATATGTATTCTAGGCCTGACTCTACCACTAATCTATTGTCTTCTCTGAGTCATATTCCCTCTCTGAGTCTCTAGCTCCTCATTTACAAAAAAGGGAGGGGGAGGAAGGCAGATGATTTCTGATGTTTTTGAATTCTAAGGTCCATGAGTTTGTATATTAATGCATAACCAAGACCATGATTAACAGCATACCCTGAGGAGATATGCTACTCACTATCATCTGACAGAATCAAATAAATCCAACTAATATACCGAACATTTATAGTAGCTCTTTAATACATGTCTTTTTCAATGTTCTTTATCAAAACATTTATAGGCTTATTTTAAAAGTAATTTATTTTTCAACACCACACACTCTTTAGTTACATTCACAATAAAACTAATTTAACTTGAATGTCATTTATTACTATGATTCACTCTTAATGTTTCAAATGATTTGTCACGTTATTCAGCCTAAAAACTGTATCTATATAACAGTGAAGATTTATATAAAGTAAATGTGGCAGGGAGAATTCTAAGATGATGCCCATGATTATGTCACTTTACTTTACATGGTAAAAGGGATTTTACAGATGCAATTAAGGTTACTAATCAGTTGATCTAAAGATAGGGAGATTATCTGAATGGGCCTAACTGAACCACACCAGCCCTTTTAAAGCAGAGTGCTTTCTCTGGCAGGTTCCAGAAGTGGAAATCAGAGAGATGTGGATCACAAGAAAATTCAACGTACCTCTGTCTGCCTGAGGTACGTTCCCGTTCCATGGAAGGGGCCACATGGAAAAGATGAGAGCAGCCTCTAGCTGCTGAGAGTGATGCCTGGCTGACAGTAAGCAAGAAAATGAGGGCTTCGGGCCTGCACTTTTAAGAAATTCTGTCCACCACCTGAATGACCTTTAAAGCTCATTTTTTCCCCCAGAACCTCCAGGCAAGAACTCAGCC